GTATGTGAAAGACTTATAATGTTAATTGAAAGATTGCCAAATTTTGTGGACATATACACACTATATTAAAAGTTAGTAGTATCAAATCTATAAAGACTTTGAACAAGTACAAAGAGGTCACGTGATCAGTAAAATGGACCGAGCACATATTGAGAGAGTTAAAATAATTCCCAAAGCTTCTCAATTTGAACACACTGGGCAAATTGTAAAACTGAAGATGAAATAAACAATACTTTGAGTTGAAAACAACTTAATACATCAGTTGATAGATCAAAACTTTGCCTTTCTATTGGTTACAAATAATATATTACATAACATCAGAGAGAACTACTGGCAATTTATGAAAGAGAGAATGTGACATGTGGGTTGATTTTCCACTTATTACTCCAAAAACAAATAAAATTGAAGGCTATAAAAATTAGAGTTTGCCTTTGTAATATCATTATGAGCAATTTATATTACATTTTGTACTTCAGAGAGGAATGGTAAATAAATTATAGAAGGTAGAAGACCCAGAAAACAAATGTCATGATTCTCATACTTGGGGAGACTAAGGAATCTTTTAAATATTTTATTATAAAATTTAGACCTTAAAATTTTATATAATCTTAAAATTTGATTTATCAAATATGTTTTGATGCAAGTTTATCCATATACATTGATAATATAGTAGTTTAATTAAATTTTGCATGTAACTCTGTAAATGATCATGGCATGCTCACTTTGACCTACCTGTTGCAAGAAAGTTAATGTCCACTATGCATTAGCTTATCTATTGAATATGTCTGTGTGTGTGTAAACACGACAGATATATAATTCCAAAGGAAATGATATATAAGAAAGTAACTAACACCATATTTCCAATTCATGAGATACAAATCAGTCTTACTTAATGGAATAAAATAAAATTAAAACAGTTAAGTTTGAGCAGGTACTCACTTTTGCTGATTGACCATAAAAGTGACAACAGTTACATCAAAGAGACTTAAAAATGTACTGAGAAGAATGCAAGAAGCATGTTATACTTGTATATATTAGGTCATCAAAAAATTAATGTTGCTTATTTTTAGATGAAAAAACCCGAACAACTTATATATCAAAACAAAAAATTTATTAAATGAAATAGTCTCCATTCTTATTGATGATGCTTTTACATCTTACAGTCAGGTTGTTAATACCTTGATTAAAGAAATCACTTGATCTTATTTAACACCTTCCACATTTGCATATGTTTTCCCATTAAGATGGTGTTGCAGCAAATGAAAAAGATAGTAATCTGATGGTGCCATATCTGGAGAATATGGTGGGTGTGGGAGAACTTCCCAACCAAACTTCATAATCTTGTGTTGCGTCAAACGTGCCACATGTGGTCATGCATTGTCGTGGAGAAGAACAACATCTTTCAAATTGACGAGTGAAGGGTGTTTCTGATGAAGGACTTGATTTAAACATTCCAGTTGCTAACTATAGATCTCTGCATTGTCAGTTCGCTGTGGATTGAGAAGTTCAAAATGAATTACTCCTTTGATGTCTCACCACATTCAAAGCATCACTTTCTGCAGATGGAGTCCAGGTTTTGGGGTCTGAAGTGTTTTTTGTCTAGGACTGAGCCATTGTTTTTGTCATTTAATATTCACATAGAGATTCCATTTCTCATCACCGGTGACAATTCTGTCCCAAATAGTTCATGCGCATTACACACCAGAAGAGACAAAACAATGTTAACACGTTGTAAATGATGATCATCGGAGAGTTTGTGATGCACCAAAACACGATTATGGAATTTTCCCATATTTCTTAGACATTTACATATTGTTTCATGAAA